TAATTGATTATCTGTGAACTCTCTCCTGGGATACCTTTTTAATTGATTATCTGTGGTGAATAAAACTCGGATAAAAAGCTGGGCGTGGTGGCAAGGAGGCAGAGGCAGAAGGATCAATGTGAGTTCGAGGCCAGCCCTGGTCTACAAAACAAGTCCAGGACAGCCAAGGCTACACAGAGTAACCCTGTCTGAGGGATGGGGTGGAGACAAAAAAACAAAAGTAACAACAAAAACTCGGATAAAATTGACAGGGCAGGGATGAGATGTAGCTAATTTGGAGGAGTGCTTGCCCGGCTTGCAGGAAACCCTGGGTCCCATAATCACCTGCAATTCCAGCATTTGGAGATGGAGGCAGGAGGATCAGGAGTTCAAGGTCACCCTCAGCAAGGTAAAGGGTTTGAAGCCAGCCTTGGCTATGAGAACTTTTTTTTTTTTTAATGAATAAAATAAAAAGGTGTTTCAGGTGTGGTGGTGTGGACCACACTCTAGGTCCTAATGATACTGAGGCAGGAGGAGTGTGCCTTCAAGGCCAGCCTGAACCATCAGACGTGGCAGAGGCATGCTAAACTGAGCAGTCCTGACCGAGGCTGCCTTCACCCATCACTGCGGCTCTGCCCGCAAGGTAGTCTGAGCAGTAGCTTGTAGGCAGCCTCCTTCCTGGAGACGCCCTCCTCCTCCGGCTGCCCCTGAGCTTCAGCATGAAGTTTCCAGAAAATCGTAACAAACTTTTTGGAGGTTATTATTTCAGTAACGTCACAGCCAAAGAGAAGGCACAAGTATCTCCTTAAGGTGTCTTCATTTTGGCCTTGGCAGATGGCCTGGAGGCAAAGCACTTTGCTGTGAGCGCATGAAGATCCTCAGAACTCACACATAACACACACAGAAAACCCAAGTAAGGTGAAAAAGAAAACCCAAGTAAGGTGCTCCTGAGGAAGAACCTGAGATTAACCTCTGACCTCCGTATGCACAAACATCCCTCGGCACGAACCGCCCCCTCCCCCACACGTATAAAGCAGACAGATGCAAAAGGATTCTCACTGGGGTGTTTACGATTTAATCTTCACAACTGGGCAGTGTGGGTTTGTGCCGCTGAGAAGAAGGGGGGATGGGCAGTGATCTAACCTGCAGTCACCTCGGATCCCAGGAAGGACAGGGCTGAAGACAAAGGACCCAAATCTCCTCAAGCAGCGGCCCCTCCAGGCCCCGCCACCCTCCCATGGGGCCACTGTCTGTGGTGGTGAGGCTGCACCAGAACTGGAGCAGTCCCCTTAGGGAACCACAGTGTTCTGGCAAGAACCCCTTCCAGGTCAGAAAGAGAGAAGATGGTGGGCCAGGCCACGCCATATCAACACAGAGTTCTGCAAGACTCCGGCGCTCTGTGCCTGGCCTTCTGAGAATGGCCCGGAGCATGAGTCAGAAACATCTGCAATCCTGACTGCAATCCTGACTCCAGGTGAGGGTCTCAGGGCTGCCTGCTGTGAGACCAGGCCTGGGGGCCAGCGCCACTGTCAGAACTCTCAGAATTCCGGTCTCACAGCTTTGCTGTCCCCTCTGCTTATTTGTTGATTCATTCGGAAAACACCAGGTGGAGAAAGAGGCTGGTCCACACTGCAGCTTCCCGCTAGGTTTCTTCCAATAACCTCACTTCCCTGGAAACAGAAAAAACTGGCCTCTCACCCAGTGCTGGCGCAGTGAACAGGCTTTGAGGGTGAGGAAGATGATCAGAGTGTGAGGGGCAAAGGTGAGGAGGCTGCAAAGGGCTGGCTCTGAAAACAGGTTGGACTTTAACCAGACACAATGCTCCACCGCAGAGAGAGGCCACAGACGCCCTGGAGAGGTGGTAGACAGTGTGGAACCTGTGGTTCAGGTACTGAGAAAGGAAAGGGAGAAAAGGTTGAGTCTTGAAATGAGCCAGGCAGAGCTGGGCTTGGAGGAGAGCTCAGAGCTGGGTCCCTCTCGCCTGGCAACAAGAAGTCCTGGCAGAATTTTGATCAGAAGTCAGAGGATAACAAAATGAAGGCTGAAGTCAGAGGCTAACAAAATGAAGGTTGAAGTCAGAGGCTAACAA